GAAAAAACGAGAAACAGAAGAAATTGAAACTGAAAAAACAAGAAATTATAAAAAATCGAATAATTGAAAAAATAAAAGAAAATGAAAACCCAAACGGAAATTGAAACATTAAAAACGAAAACTCGAGAAAACTCAAACGAAAATTTAAAAGTTGGAAAACTGTAAAACGGAAAAATTGAAAATCGAAAAATTGAAATATCCTAAAATTAAAAACCTTCACAATGAAAAAAGAAAAATTATGAATTCAGAACATCGAAAAACTGAAAAATTGAAGAAATAACGAAAAAAGAAAACTGAAAAGAAAAATTACAAATTGAAAAATTGAAGACATGAAAAATTGATGATTTAAAAAATGAAAACTCATTATAAAATTGGAAATCGAAAAATTGCAAAATCTAAAAACTGAAAAATCCAAAATTTCGAAAATTGAAAAACTAAAAATTTAGAAATGAAAACTCGAGTTACAATATTATAAAATTGAAGAAAGAAAAAAAATATTATTGAAACATTCCAAATCGAAGTGTATAAATAAAGGAGATAAAAAAACCCAAGCGAAAAGTTGCAAATTGAAAATTTGAACAAATGAAAAATCAAAAATCAAAAACTCGCGAAATTTTAAATTGAAAAATTGTAAAGGTTAAATATTAAAAAAAAAAACAAAACAAATTAAAAACTGAAAAATTGCAATTGGAAAAATTAATAAATGAGAAAGTGAAAAAATTGAAAATGAAAGAACAAAACATTATAAAAATCGAATAATTGAAAAAATAAAAGAAAATGAAAACCGAAACGATAAAGTGCAAATCGAAAAATTGAGAAATTGAAAATGAAAACTGGAGAAACTCAAATCGATAGTTAAAAGTTAGAAAATTATAACACTGAAAAATCCTAAAATTGAAATTTTGGTTTTATAATTTTCCAACTTCACATTGAAAAAGGAAAAATTATAAAACCAAGGCACTGGAAATAACTGAAAAATTGAAGAACTAACGAAAATAAAGAACCTAAACGAAAAATTGAAAACTCATCGTGAAATTGCAAATCGAAAAATTGCACAATCTACATCCAAAATTTGGAAAATCGAAAAACTGAAGAATTTAAAAATGAAAACTCAAAGAGTTACATACTATTAAATTGAAGAAAGAAAAAAAAATTATTGAAACATTCCAAATCGAAAACATTGAAATTGAAAAAACAAAAAATTATAAAATTGAAACAGTGAAAAATCGAAGTAAAGAATAAAATTTTATAGCAAATAGTATAACAAAAAAAACACGATTAGGGTTTTTTTTACTTTTTTCATTAGACTATTCTAGATTCTATTATTAGTTTCCAGTCGCACTCGACAGAAGAACATAAGTAGCCCCGCCCACCCACCCTGCCTCCTTTTCAGTGATTGATTTTATCCAGTCTGAATGAAATGTATGATCTTATACATAACAAAAGTAAAATTAGTCCTTAGAATTAGAAGACGGGGGGAGGTAGTACTTACTAAGATACGGCTGATTTTGGCAAGTCAAATACCTTCCAAAAAAACAGAGGGTGGGTGGGCGGGGCTAATAGTTGATAAGATAAAACTGATTTTGGCACTTTTGACATTTTCGACTATTTTTCTAACTAGAAGAGGTCAGGTCACGGTAAAGAAAATAAAAAACCGAAACCAAAAATTGCAAATCGAAAATTTGAAGAAATGAAAAATTAAAGAAATGAAAAACTGAAACATTAAAAATTGAAAACTCGCGAAATTTTAAACTGAAAATTTGCAAAATCGCAAATCGAAAAATTGATGAAACGAGAAATTGAAAAAATTAAAACTGAGAAACAAAAAAATATAAAAATGGAATAATCGAAAAAATAAAGAACAAAAAATTGCAAATCGAAAAATTGAAAAATTCAAGAGTTGGAAAATTGAAACTGCAAAAAATCGAAGAACTATATATTAGAATTAATAAAACTAACGTTTTTTGATTGGAAAATACGTTGTTAACAACTGGGGGCGGGGAAGTGAATAATTGTGGAGGAGTTTTTTTTATCGCAGGAAAAAGTTGCTTATTTGATAAGATATTTGGGACGAAGAGTGACATTAATTGAATTGTCTTAAGCCTAAGGTGCTGTAAAAAAGCAGAAATATTATTTATCGCTAATTCGCAGTCCGCGGTGAAGTATTCAGAGGGCCATTAATATGCAATATAACTTTATGAAGAAATATGCATCGTCGCCAGCAGTTACTCGAGGCTATAAATTATAAAATAACATCGAAACCATAAAGCCGCATTTACAGATAATACTGGGTTTATAATTTAGACATATTTGTAGGAGTTTTTTTAATAAATTGGACGAAAATAAGCAGATTAGGTTAAGAAGTCGTTTGGTATGATCGCCTTAAGTAGTTGCACATTTAACGATTTCATTATACTAATATCAAGTTAATTTAATTATCTGGATGAAATTAATGGAACTTCTCAAGTGCTTAATTACTATTATGAGTATAAATTATGAAAATAGATTTATCGGGGTGCAACAAAAGGGTTACGAAGTTCTTTTTCTGCTATTCTATTTATTCGATGACAAAACTTGAAACTCTGGCGGAGATCCAGGTTTTCAATTAAATAATGGGGTTACACTCGGGTAGATTGTTCTAGAACGTAGGTTAGAAGGTATGAATACAACGGTCATTTAAACTAGCACCGCTCTTTTGTATATCTGTCTAACCGACATAACGCCTATTTATATTTCTGAGCCCAAAGAAAATGTTTTGTCGTGTCTAAAGTGAACCAAAGCGAATTTAACCTACGCAATAACATGAAATAGTTTTACCAAAATTTACATGTTTATTAAACGTCTCGAGTACGAAAACGTCATGACATGTGTCAGTTTATGCGTTTATGTTTATTCTAATTTAATTTCGTTTCCATCTAGAGCTGCGTTAAAATGAATTTGCGACTGAACTAAAAGTCGCATGGCTCTAATTTTATTAATCTCTGATTTATGGCTGTAGCAATTTTAGCATAATTCAGTATTAGTGTCACCACCAAAATATATTAAAGCTTTAACCGGTTCCGTACGTCCATTAATATGAAATACCGTGAAAAAATTTAATATACCTTCTTACTCAAGAACAAGATATACTTTGTATTCGTGGGAGTGGAGTAGGGGTTTCGGATAGAACTGTAATAAACCGACCCCATGAGGCAAATTTGAGATTTAAAATACCGTGGAGATCTGTTCCTTTGAATAACAACCACGAGAGGTTCAAGTAAAGATAGAGAATCAGGGTTCGCGCTGATATAAGATTGTTTTTATATTTTGTTTATACATGGTTGGGGTTGATGGATTTTATTATTTTCGACTAAGCGGAGGCGGCCGGATGACAGGTGAAGACACTCACGCCTAAGAGAATCAAAATATGGGTACCTTCAAGGTCACGCCATCTCGACGACAGAGGGCGCTCCCTAATCCGACAGACAAGACTGAATAGTGTGGAAGTGGTTTACGTCACACCAGACAACTGCACCCTGTATAAAGTTTGTATCAATAGATAGTTGCAACGACCAAGCGGACTTCACTATTTATTAATCGATAACCCGTTCTGTCAAAGGACGGCGTGTGCCTTATTAAACCACCCTGAAAGATAATGCTTAACCATATTGTTGTAATACACGCCAGGAATTTTTTTGTCTACATTTTGTCTTTGTTGTTGGAGGTTTTTGGTATTATAGTCCACTTTCGTCCTCCGCACACAATATTATGAATTCATACACCTTTGGGGTTCCATTGTTCTATTTGACGTGAAAACTGCATGAACGGGGACACATTAATTAATTTCGCTATTATTTATTGAGAGCACAGAATAATTTCTAGAATAACAGAACGAAATACCACGGCATGCATGTCAATATTGTTTCGTGTAATTAAAATTCGTTAATCTGTTAGGTTTCAACTACATTATTGTTGTTGCGGATTAGGGAGTACGCAACAATCACTCTGTTACGAGTTATATTCATCAGCGTTCATCAATATTGTAGTCAATGTATAATCCGTTTGAAGGGTGACGTATGTTGTTATATAATAATAGCCATTCAACACCGAGCCGGGTTTTGTACTCTGATACAAGTTTTCACACGTCGTGTCACCTATCTTACAAAGATAGCATAATCTAATTAAAAGATACACATTTCTCATTTATAACCTGTATCTGCGCTTTATGAATCCGCCTTGATTTTTGGAAACAGAAATTTGAAATGTTTTTGGATATGCGCGCGTTCCTTTCAGTTCCGAAACGTGAATAATTTAGTGTCAGAAAATCTCGTTAATATCTTCTCATAAATGGTTATTGTTCGAAGTGTTACGCTTTATGAAGTACTAACACAATAGACGTTATTATTATTATTTTCGGGAGACTGATTTCCGCTTGAGACAGCTGCTGAAAACTTTATACAAACATTTTTCAATTTATTGATAGAACGTCTTGGTAGAGCGATCAGGAAGATTGAGACAGTGAGGTAACAATGGTGGATGCGCCGGGCGAAACTAATATCGTGCGAAACAAAAACGAGCTGGTGCCGTAGGTGTTAAGAGTTTGATTCGAAGTATATTTTACTTTAAAGTAGGTTTAGTTCAACGACTAAAGCAGCAAAGTTTCGAGATAAATCGATTAGAAATTAATTCTTTAAAGAGCTCCTACAATATTTTTTATTAACTGGCGCCGGCTCGGTATAATTTTTCGGGCCAGGCCAATGAAAATGGAATAGGAGTATAAATAAAAAGTTTTCGTCGAGTTTGGTAGCAGCATAAGCTGAAATGATTCGAAGTTTGTTCAAAGTTAATTGATTTTCATTTATCTTTGTTGAAATTTGAAATCTTTAAAGAATCGTCCTTCACTTATTTGATTCGGTGTGTTCGAATTGGTGACCGTGCTTTTACTGTGGCCAAGCTAGTACATTATTCTCCAAAGTTAAGATTAATGGTGAGATTTGGCAGATTTTAGTGCAATAACTTACCGTTAAGAACGTGTACAGCTACGGTCGCAAATGCCAGGGCTCCCACGGCGCACGTGTAGTTCCCCGAATGGCGCGTTTCAAGAGGTCCCACCGTCAAAGTTGAAATAGCCGAATCCGTCGTCGTAGATAGGTTAGAACTGAAAAAACACTATCATTACTATCAACCACAACAAAATTCATCCGGCTCGAAGGACCAATTGTTTGCAGCTGCATAATTACATGATTATGAAACCAAAAGAGTCAGAAATAATTTATGCATTTTCTGTTTTATCGATTGTTCGCTTTCTCTGACACGTCCCACATTTTCAATTATTACTTGAAGTAAAGACACAATATGTTACCAACGCGGCGTCGTAAACGTGCTCGTTCAAGCACGATGTTCTCCTTCCACATTAACACGCGCGTGTCAAATCGACGAAAAACCATTTTTAAAAAATTGCTACCGTCCGACTAATTTTTAGCTACCTAATCTATTCCTGCTTCTTTCGGAGCTTCGCTTTTATATAGATACTTATTTTTTAAAAGACCTTACTCCTGGGAAATCAATTACTTCTGCACCAAATAAAACACCACATCTAACAACACGGGTACATAAATAATATCAACCGAGTTGTGAATGTGTCTGCGATGTGCAACTTTTGTTATGAATATTTAAGTCGTTTGCAGTACACCAAACATTATTCTTATGGGTCTACCGAAAGCTAATAACGTTTATCAGTCATGTTACTGCCAAAACGCTTTTACTGCTTGTTTAAAATGCGTAAACTTTTTAATAGTTCTATTAGTAGTTTATGAAACCGATACGGTTGATTAAACTTTAAAATTTTGGGTGCCACGGGGATAATAATGTGCTACGTAACGTTTGAACAAAGAAAAACGAAGGAAAATGTGACACAAACTTTAAACATAGTTGCAGCACAGCACATTGTCCTCACATATAATGTCGCGGTAATGAAAGTAAAATAAATCTCTTGATAAAGGCGTAAAATCTCTCATGTTTGTCGTAAAATATTTCTTTATTATAGTTTTAATGTGTTAAAACAGTTGATATAGAGATATAGCACGCAACGATCAAACATTTTGTAATATAACCCAGCGTTATACGAACTCGCCTTAAAATTGGTGTCATATTTCCACCAACGGGCCATCAATTTTTTGCTATAATATTATCAATTATAACGTAATTTCATTTCCATAATTCCAGCAAAATTAGGTCGGCTATTTCAGAGATAATCAATATCACAATGCTGCGAATTGTAAGAAAATCGCAACAGACAGACAACAGACGGATGGAAGCGGAAACGGGTGTTTAAAATTTTTGACAAGTTTTGTTTTGAGGTTATAACGGTGTTATTAGGAAACTTTGATATAAGCCAAGAAATGGTTCTCAAATATTGTCGTTAAAATATGCTCTCATTGGATCCGCCGCGGTAGGACGTAATTTTGCTGTATAAACACACACGGAGTGACAAAGGCAATTATTTAGGTTTGATAATTGAAGAAAAACATGTAATTATCAGTATAAATGAACATGTTTTTGTAACAATAGGCGGCAAATGTTTGTAAATATTATGTAAATGTGACTATGTTTATACTGTAATCCACTTGTTTACACAGACGTACATTGACGGTCTGCACACATACATGTTAAAGAAAATTTACCAATTGAGCGGTTTTTGATAACTTTGAAAAACAATTAATGTCGTTTTAATTCGTTGCATGTTTCAGACAGACAATTTTTATTTTCCGGTTCTTCCTCTTTATTTGCTCATACATTCCTTGTATTGATTATTATAATGCACACATTCTGAATAGATAATTGACATCACAAATTATCTTCGCATTAGATTATTCATCAATTCATCATACATTATCATACATTTCCATAAATTTTTGCTCACGTAGGGTCCAAATTTAAACCGAAATTTTCTAGAGTAGCCAAACTAAGTGATTTAGATCTGCGTATTGTGCGATGGGTATTAAAAGTTGTGAGTAAAGTTTGTGGCAATATCGAGTTCCCAAAGTGGGATGTTGCCTTTTGTTATATTGCAAACTGATGTTCAATCCACTTAGACAAGTGATTTTAGTTGAATGAGAAGGGTTAATTTTATTTGAAATTTTCTCGTTTTACGAATAATTAGTTACTATACAGGGTAGTGCGTGTACATGTTCGACATTGTGATCTTGGAGATTGTAAAGAAAGGACGTAGATTAAATTGAGAAAACTTGCCCGGTTATGTATTGATCAATAGTGGCTTGCCTTTGTACCTAAATCCAAATAACTCGACTCACTTTAATGCGTGTTCCTTTTGTGTACTTCCCCTGTTGTTGATGCTGCATTTGTCGAGCACGTAATAGAGTTAGCGGAGAGGTAACAAGTGGGCGAGTTTTTTTGACGAGTGTTGTAATTTTTGCAACTGTTATATGATCTTGTCACAAGTTTCAAATAGGCTTCTCATACTGTTGGTAAAAACGTGTAAGCGTAAAAATAAATAGTTTCGTTGACGGTTCGTCGCTACCGCTTACGGTTTCGAGTGAGAAAAGCTGCGTTGTTTTCGAGAGGCAAGTTAAAATGGTATCAAAATTGATAAAACACGTATAAAGAGATTAGTTAAGTTAATGATGAGGGACAAAAACCAACATTTTTTTAATCCGTTTTTCCGGACTCAATTATGTATTCAGGGCTTAGGTTGACACTGAATAAAATGAATTGTTTGTGGTCCGTCAGAGTACGTTTTGTTTGACGTGTTGCAATTCGTCAAATCTCTCGTGAGTTTTTTCGGAGAGCGCGTTATTTGTTAGGTTTTTTCTTAACCTACATTAGCAGATGTGTCCGTCGAATATTCCGGGTCTGTAAATGAAGTAACTTAATCCCCCGGAGCATCAAGGAAAGCGTGGAGTAGAGGACAAAGGGTGTCTGTGTGGTGAAGGTACTTACTCACCTGATACCCTTAGAGAGCGTGCGGTCTCCGTGTCTCCAGGTGATAGGGGGGTTGTCAGAGCCCCCTCCTACTTGTGCCGCCAGACATGTCAACTCGAGGGCGCTGCCTGCTTTGTAATAGCGCTCAGTCACCTCTCGGCCAGATTCGTCCACTATTCGTAATTCCGGAGCTACAAATAGAATATATTCATTAATCCCTATGCCCTATTTCACCCACACTCATAGAATTTTAATACTCCGGGCTTGATTTTACTGCCCGCTAAGGAGAATGTCTTCGCCCAACCCTTGGACGTGATTGCATAACTAAACTGAATTCCACACTAATGCCTAAGTCGATTTACCACAAAAGCAACCGCCACTTCCAATGTCTACACAAATAATAATATGCAGACTAAACACGAATCCTACCAGATCGACGAACAATTCGATTTTACTTCCCCAGCAATTGCAATTGGGTCATACTGATGAATCTCTCACCTTTTCACGCTATTACCCCCATTTTTAACTTCACACAAACGGATTATCTCAAAAACAAACATCACACTCCAAATTTGATCGAAATTTTAGCAAAATACTGTTTCGTTTGACGTATTATAAAAGTTTTAGTGGATTTTCAAAATCTGTTGGAAATTATGATTTCATTTTCCTGTTAAAACCAGCCGGTTTAAGTGAAATATCATAAAAATCTGGCAATGTGTGACGCTAATCTCATTTATAATTCAGGCTACTTTGAATCCAGTTACAGATTCTTCGAGCTCATATGAAGATAGCAGCAGTGAATGGGAGCTTTGTAATTGATTGAAATCGTTCCTCCGATCACGTTTTTCCTCCACACAATTCTCGACTCTGACCTAGTAAATCTTAAATGCCTTTGCATATTCATGGTTGGCTCCTTAATATCTTTCTTGTGCAGTTTTGGCCGGGCTTTTAATATTTATTGCATTGTACAAAGACGTAAATACTGTTTTGTTCTATTATTTTGTAACAAAACCACAAAAGCTTGACACCACTTTCTTGAAGTTACATTTAACTGCGAAAACACGTTGCCACTTTTGATAAAATACGAAACAAGGAACAGTTTAGTTTTTGTCCATTATAAGAGAGCGTGCTTAACCGCATTTCAACAATAAATGGATTTTCTAGGACATTTGATTTTTAACCGAACAATTTGCATTTGTATTTTAAACGAGACTGTTTAGTTTAGTCTGGAAAAATTCCATTATGAATTCAGTTATTAATACAGGCGTGCACTTCAGTTCTTGCATTATTCATGAACATTAATATTTAAATAATTTAATTTATTGTAGTCGTTTATCCCAAATGTTTGCTGTGATGGCTAAACTATGCCACCTAATAACTAATTAAGAGAATTAATTTTTACGTTCGTTACATAAAACGGTGATAAATGTTAAAAGAACACCTGTAAGTTCTCCATGTTCAAGACATTTAATGTCACAAAATACTGCATTTTCTCGAGACTAATAAAATGTATGACTTTTCTTTGAAAAATAGTCCGTTTGGAAAATATTCTTTTGATGAAATAACATCTGAGTGTTCTAACTTTAAAAAGCTTCCACAAATAAAATGTTCTACATACTTGGTCTCGTCCTGTTTAAAATTTGTTTCAAAGTTATTTTGATTTATATTTGTCAATTTTTATTTCTTGTCATGCTTAACATGATTATCTTAGTGTAAAGAGTAGAAACACCATTAACCATAAAAAGGAAACTCGTAATTCAATAAAACCTTCTAAATAGAAGACTCGACGCGTAAATTGTCAATTTTGGAAAGCAGCAGAATCCTCATCATTAATTCCGATTGACCAATTTTTTATACTGCTTCCTTTCCAAACATTTACCCTATTCGTACCTCTTACCATATTAGTCATGATCATATTTTCATGCCTTTCTTAGTTTACTATCTTAGCTACAACATTCAGATCGTTTTCATTAATACAATTCTTCTAAAATTTAAAGAATCTGCCTGATCAAATGGGTCAGGATACCGAATTCGAGATTTTTAAATTTTTGTTCTAGCCTTCTATGCGGGAAGCTATTTAGTAGTTGCATTAGGTCCCTGAATGTATTATACCACCTGGCCGGAGTTTTTTGATCTCGGGAAGCCAAGTGGAGTAATCGCGAGGGGCACGGAACTATAAACTGTGAGAAGCAAAACCTAGAGTTCCTTAATTTCGGGGGCACAAGTTCAGGACTTCACCTTGTCCAAATAACAAAGTAATCCTCGGTGTAATAAGCGAGACTTACAGGAGATCGACATGAAGGAATTGGACCAAATCTAGAACAGCTTAAAGTCTCACACTTGTACCACAGTCATGGTCCATTTTAAGGCTTCTCCCAGAATCTGTCCCACAGTCAGTTTCAAATTTTCAGTGGCCGCCAGGGAGGTCACATCAAGACTTTGACCCGATTTCCAACTTTTGTAGCCAGTCTTTTTCACAAGACCCATTGGAAATCTGTTTCTCCGGCAAAAGTACCCCAGGTACTCCCTTCCCAGGAGAGGGAGCTGGCGGCTGAGTAACCGCCCCCGTAGAAGATGCCAACTCAGTGCGTCAAGGTGACTTTGTTCGGCAAACCGGACAGGTTTATCTTTTATGGCACTAGGCGGTCCCAGACGTGGTACTGACGTATGTGATAACCCCCAATATGATATCGGCGAAACCCTTCACCCCCACCGGTACCACCGACTCTCGTGTTTCGTTAAAATTTCTGTTCTAATTTTCTAAGGGAAGAGGTTCAGTATTAACATTAAGTCCCTAAACATGTTGTCTCATCTGGCGCGGATTCTATGAGCTTGGGACTCACCCTAAGGCGGATTAGAGCTTACAGTTCCTAAATTTAGAAGCCTTGAATTGAATTTGTAATATTTTCCTTCATGTGAGGTAAGCGCAAGAGGTACGGCATTCTAATTTGGACAGATCAGAACTTGCATTTCCTGAATTTCGAAGTCCCAAATTCTGGACAGTTCGAATTTTGCTTTTCACAGTCAGTTTAAAATCAAAATTTGTGTTCTAATCAATTATGCGGCAAGTGGTTTAGTTATAACATTGAGTCCCTAAATGTGTTGTCCCACCTGGCCGGGCTTCTGCGAGCTCAAAAAGCTAAGCTCTAAACGTTATCTGCCCGACTCCAACCTGGATGAATCGAAACTGCACGTTCTGAAGCTTGTTTAACTCGGGTAGCTAGCAAAATTAAAACTAGGGGTAGTTTGCCATCTATCTGCTGCAAGGTGCAACAAGGTAACCCTCGATGGAATGGTAGTACTTGCAGTAAGTAGGAGTTAAAAGTGACCGACATGAAACAATTGAAGCAAATCTGGAGTCCCACACTGGTACCGGCGTCATGGTACATCTTAAGGTTTCTCCTTAATCCGTCTCACAGCAGTCTCAAATTTTCATTGGCCGCCAGGGAGGTCACAGCAAGATCCACTTGAAATCCGTTTTTACGGCAAGAGTACCGCAGGTACTCCCTTCCCGGGAAAGAGAGCTGGCGCCTGTGCAACCGCCTCCCTAGAAGACGCCAATTCCGTGGCGTCAAGGTGACCTTGTTCACCAAGACCAGATAGGTTTGTCTTTGGTGGGAGTAGTCGGTCCAAGGTGCGGTATTAATGCACGTCATAACCACCAATACGATACCAGCGAAGACCTTCACCCTTACCGTCACCATAGACCCTCAGGTTTCATTTAGTCCCTAAACATGTTGTCCCATCTGGCTAGGATTCTATCAGCTCAGGAAGCCAAGGTTGGGACTCACGCTAGGTAGACTAGGGCCCACAGTTCCTAAATTTAGGAGTCACTAGTTATGGACCTCGTTTTCTCTTGATAATAACGTAGTGAGAGGGTGAAGAGTAGGCTGAAGTAATGTGATCAAGTATGGAACTGTCAAGATATCTTTGAGCTCGGGATTTTTTAATCCTTTCCGTCGTGTGACGTAGGCGCAAGAGGTACGGCATTCTAATTTGGACAGATCAGAACTTGGAGTTCCTGAATTTCGAAGCTCCAAATTCTGGAGTTCTCTTTCTTCAAGTAGGTAGAGTAGTGGGAGGGCAAGTGCAGCTTAATATTTACCTGTCACAAAGTGCAACCAGGCAAATCTTGATGGAATAGTAGGTTCATCCGGTATCATACTCCGTAGTACCTGAGATTTTTAGAATTTGTTTAACCCAGGCAGGTAGCAAAATTAAAAGTAGGGGTAGTTTGCAATGTGTCTGCCTAACCTTCTGTGGAATGGTAGTACTTGCAGTCAGCGGGACTGGAACCAAATCTAGAACAGCTTAAAATCTCACACTGGTACCAGAGTCATGAGCCATCTTAAGGTTTCTCCTTGATCCGTCTCACAGTCAGTGTAAATCTTCAGTGGGCGTCAGACAGGCCACAACAAGACCTTGACCCGATTTACAACTTTTGTAGATAATTACACAATTTTTTTCACAAGACCCACTGGAAATCCGTTTTTCCGGCAAGAGTACCCCAGGTACTCCCTTCCCGGGAGAGGGAGCAGGCACCTGAGCAACCGCCCCCATAGAAAGCGTTAACCCCGTGGCGTCAAAGTGACCTTGTTCGCCAAGACCGGACAGGTTTTTCTGCGGTGGCACTAGGTGGTCCCTTCACCCCCATTGTCACCATCGACCCTCGGGTTTCGTCGCAATTTCTGTCTTAATCTCTTTAGGGAAAAGGTTCAGTAAAAATATTAAGTCTTTAAACTTGTCCCATCTGGCTCTGATTCTATGAGCTCGGCTTCAGGTTCAACCTAGGTGAACTTTTTGAGCCTACAGTTCCTAAATTTAGGAGTCACAAGGTCTGGACCTCGTTCCTTGTGGATAATAATGTAGCGAGAGGGTGAAGAGTAGGTTGAAGGAATGGGATCAAGCGTGGAACAGTTTGAACTCGCACATTAGTACCAGAATGGTGCAGCATTTTAAGGTCTCTCAAGATTTCTTTGAGTTTGGGAATTTTTAATATTTTCCTTCGTGTGAGATAAGCACAGACCAGAACTTGTAGTTCCTGAATTTCGAAGCCCCAAATTCTGGACTTCTCTTTGTCCAAGTAGGCAGAGTAGTGGAAGGGCAAGTGCAGCTTTATATACCTGTCACAAGGTGCAACAAGGCAAATCTTGATGGAATAGAAGGTGTATCCAGTATCATACTCGTAGTACATGAGGTTTAAAAAAAGCCAATATAAAGTGACGGAGCCACGTCTGAGACAGTTCGAATTTCCCTGTTCACAGTCAGTTTAAAATCAAAATTTGTGTTCGAATCAATTATGCGACAAGTGGTTTAGTTATAACATTGACTCCCTAAATGTGTTGTCCCACCTGGCCGGGCTTCTGCGAGCTCAAAAAGCTAAGCTCTAAACGTTATCTGCCCGACTCCAACCTGGATGAATCGGAACTGCACGTTCTGAAGCTTGTTTAACTCGGGTAGCTAGCAAAATTAAAACTAGGGGTAGTTTGCCATCTGTCTGCTGCAAGGTGCAACAAGGTAACCCTCGATGGAATGTAGTACTTGCAGTAAGTGGGAGTTAAAAGTGACCGACATGAAACAATTGAAGCAAATCTGGAGTCCCACACTGGTACCGGCGTCATGGTACATCTTAAGGTTTCTCCTTAATCCGTCTCACAGCAGTCTCAAATTTTCAGTGGCCGCCAGGGAGGTCGCAGCAAGACCCACTTGAAATCCGTTTTTACGGCAAGAGTACCGCAGGTACTCCCTTCCCGGGAAAGAGAGCTGGCGCCTGTGCAACCGCCTCCCTAGAAGACGCCAATTCCGTGGCGTCAAGGTGACCTTGTTCACCAAGACCAGATAGGTTTGTCTTTGGTGGGACTAGTGGGTCCAAGGTGCGGTATTAATGCACGTCATAACCACTAATACGATACGAGCGAAGCCCTTCACCCTTACCGTCACCATAGACCCTCAGGTTTCATTTAGTCCCTAAGCATGTTGTCCCATCTGGCTAGGATTCTATCAGCTCAGGAAGCCAAGCTTAGGACTCACGCTAGGTAGACTAGAGCCTACAGTTCCTAAATTTAGGAGTCACAAGTTCTGGACCTCGTTTTCTCTTGATAATAACGTAGTGAGAGGGTGAAGAGTAGGCTGAAGTAATGGGATCAAGTGTGGAACTGTCAAGATATCTTTGAGCTCGGGATTTTTTAATCCTTTCCGTCGTGTGACGTAAGCGCAAGAGGTACGGCATTCTAATTTGGACAGATTAGAACTTGGAGTTCCTGAATTTCGAAGCTCCAAATTCTGGACTTCTCTTTCTTCAAGTAGGTAGAGTAGTGTGAGCTCAAGTGTAGCTTAATATTTACCTGTCACAAAGTGCAACCAGGCAAATCTTGATGGAATAGTAGGTTCATCCGGTATCATACTCCGTAGTATCTGAGATTTCTAGAATTTCTTTAACCCAGGCAGGTAGCAAAATTAAAAGTAGGGGTAGTTTGCAATGTGTCTGCCTAACCTTCTGTGGAATGGTAGTAATTGCAGTCAGCGGGACTGGAACCAAATCTAGAACAGCTTAAAATCTCACACTGGTACCAGAGTCATGGTCCATCTTAAGGTTTCTCCTTGATCCATCTCACAGTCAGTGTCAAATCTTCAGTGGGCGTCAGGCAGGCCACAACAAGACCATGACCCGATTTCCAACTTTTGTAGATAATTACACATTTTTTTTCACAAGACCCACTGGAAATCTGTTTTCCGGCAAGAGTACCCTAGATACCCCCTTCCCGGGAGAGGGAGCAGGCACCTGAGCAACCGCCCCCATAGAAGGCGTTAACCCCGTGGCGTCAAAGTGACCTTGTTTGCCAAGACCGGACAGGTTTGTCTTCGCTGGCACTAGGCGGTCCCAGACGCGGTACTGACGTACGTCATAACCCCCAATACCATATCGGCGAAACCCTTCACCCCCATTTTCACCATCGACCCTCGGGTTTCGTCGCAAATTCTGTCTTAATCTCTTTAGGGAAAAGGTTCAGTAAAAATATTAAGTCTTTAAACATGTTGTCCCATCTGGCTCTGATTCTATGAGCTCGGCTTCAGGCTCAACCTAGGTGAAGGTCTCTCAAGATTTCTCTGAGTTCGGGAACTTTTAATATTTTCCTTCGTGTGAGATAAGCGCAAGGGGCACGGCATTCTAGTTTGCACAGACTAGAACTTGCAGTTCCTGAATTTCGAAGCCCCAAATTCTGGACTTCTCTTTGTCCAAGTAGGCAGAGTAGTGGAAGGGCAAGTGCAGCTTAATATCTGCCTGTCACAAGGTGCAACAAGGCAAATCTTGATGGAATAGAAGGTGTTTCCAGTATCATACTAGTAGTACCTGAGGTATAAAGAAAGCCAATATGAAGGAACGTGACCAATCTCCCGTTTCACAGTCAGTTTAAGATCAAAATTTGTGGTCTAACCTATTATGAGGGAAGTGGTTTAAAACTAGGGGTAGTTTGCCATCTGTCTGCTGCAAGGTGCAACAAAGTAACCCTCAGTGGAATGGTATTACTTGCAGTAAGCGGGACTTAAACGACACCGACATGAAAGGATTAAACCAAATCATGGTCCATCTTAAGGCTTCTCCCAGAATCTGTCCCGAGGTCAGTTTCAAATGTTCAGTGGCCTCCAGGGAGGCCACAGCAAGACCGTGACCCGATTTCCAACTTTTGTAGATAGTTACTTAGTTTTTTTCACAAGACCAACTGGTAATCGGTTTCTTCGGCAAGAGTAACCCAGGTATTCCATTCCCGGGAGAGGGAGCTGGCGCCTGAGCAATCGCCCCCGTAGAAGGCGCCAACCCCGTGGCGTCAAAGTGACCTTGTTCGCCAAGACCGGACAGGTTTGTCTTTGGTGGCACCAGGCGATCCCAGACGCGGTACTAACGTACGTCATAACCCTCGATAGGATATCGACGAAACCCTTCACCCCCACCGTCCAAACTGACCTTAAGGGAAAAGGTTCCTAAATTTCGGAGCTGCAAGTTCTGAAACTTGTTTGACCCGGGTAGCTAGCGGAATTAAAACTAAGAGTACTTTGTCATCTGTCTGCCACAAGGTATAACAAAGTAAGTCCTGGCGGAATGATATTTGGATCTAGCACCACAGTCGCAGTACCCGGAGTATAAAGTTAGCTCAACCAATGAAATGGGACCAAATTTGGAGAAGTTCGAGTTTTACAATGGTACCAGGGTCGTCAAGATTTTCAGGTTTCTCTCAAAATCTACCTCACAGCCGTCCCAACTCAAAATTTGTATTTTAACCTACTATGAGGCAAGCGGTTCAATAGTATGATGTCTTGAAAACCCAAAGATAATCACAACGGTTTGCTCGTATGAACATGTTGATGTCCCTTCGGTAGATACATTCTCGAAGTTTTTAGGGTCCGTTTTAAGTCCTACAGTGATTCGGTTGTAGCACAGCAGCGCTGGGTTGGACTTGAGTGACCGGACCTGACCTGACCTGACCTGAACTGACTTGATCTGATTTGATCTGACTGTGACCTTGTTTATCCTCACAAATATATACTGCGATTTAACTAGTTCTATTCTTTCAATAGTACTCTCTAGCATCTTCGTAGATTTGGCTTGAGTTTGTCACTTCTATGTACTTCTGGAGCTTCAGGTACTAGTATAGAGATCGTTAAGATAATTAATGATTATCAGATTTATATAACGAAATTTTGAGTGGTGGAGCATGAAACATTTTATTAAAAAATATAATAATAAAAAAAACATACCTTAACTACTAAAGATTATGGGAATAATATCTTGTCACTGGGGTTAAATTCAAATATTGATTAGTCGGTCCACTCTTTGACAAAACTTATCCTGTTTCAAGTAGCAGTTAAATTATTAAAGGCGGCAAAGATGATAAAAAATGTTCTTTCTAAAAACATTGTTGGAGATCTTAAGCTTAACCTAAAGGGTTTTATTTGAAATTAATTGGTTGGTAATTTTTGTTTGCGAGTTGTAGGTATTCGATGTAATAAGCCTGATTTTTGAAGGCGCAGCGTCTGTTAATAATTAGATGAAAGGATTTCGGACGAGAGACAAAACAAGTAAAGAAATATAAGGTATTGGAAGTTTCCGGCACAGGATTGGATACTGACCTGTAACTTTGAGAAATATCCTTTTGACTTTAGGAGGATGTGTGGCGACCTGGCATTCGTAGAGACCTTCGTCCCTTCGTGTGATGTAGACAATTTGTAATCGAAAGTTGTTGGGGTATCGAAAGCTGAGCGTGATGCGCTCGTCTCTGCTGTAAGCACTTCGGCCTACCGTAAGAAGATGTATGGAGTCTCCTTTGTGATGAAGCCATGTCACCTGCAAGAAACGCTTCCCCTGAATATTTTATAAAGATTCGATAACCTGCTAATTAACTCTAAACGGCACTAATTACTGTCAACACGCGCGTGTGAGACAATTTATTACGAGACGTGGAATCGACCAGACACTTCGTCAGCCAGGAATGCGTAGAGTAAGAACTTCAAAAGCTCGTATGTGCTTGACTTCGAACCATAAAGTACCGCTCATTCCAACCTGAACACCGATATTAATTATCTTTGGGTTCTATTCAGTAAAGAAACGTCGAAACGGTAGCTACGTGCTATCGCCTCATTACTCTCTTCCTCTCCAATAGACTTTCTGGTTTAAGAGTGAATTCAAGGAATTCGTTTTTGTTAAACACCGGCTCGGCCAGCTCTGATAGCCTCGTTAGTTGAGGCTTGTACACACTCGGTGTTACTGCCAAGAATTTCTGCTGATAAAACGCCAACACATTTACAAACTCTTCCTCCTACAATTTTTCTTTTTCGTTTTGATTAAATAGGACGGAAAACAAGATAGTTCTTTCTGTATCTGCTTTACACTTTTATCGACTTTCCCCGCTTATTAGTGTTTCTCGTTTCATTACGTACCTCGACGCTCAAATGGTCACCGAAACATTTTTCAACACACACCTAGTTTTTACATCCAGACCCTTTCACTATCTGCTTCCGTCTGTTTGTCTGTTTTTGTCTGTTCGTTGACCATGTTATTAGAATCTCAGAAACTATTAATTAAACTTTGTTTGTTCACCCCACAATTAAGATTTAATTCTGGCGATTATTATTAAAACTAGAATAGAGTGTTTAACGCAGATGATGGTCCTATCCCCACTCCTGCATTTTAAATTACCGTTGAGAAGATTTTTTTTGTTTTGAGTAACTTAGGTTTTTGACTTTAAAATGAAGCTGCAATTGATTTCACGATGTTCATGACAGTACAAAGTTGCGAGTTTGGCGTGCGTATTGCGATGAGTGTACATTAAACGAGTAATGTTAACAAGCAGTAGTTTACCCTATTTGCAAATTTATCAAATTATAAGAGAAGTTTGTAACGTCTTATGAATAAGCAACACAAAGTGAACAACCTTAATTTTTAGTTTAAACAAGAGCCAAGGTTGAGTTGTGTACTTTCGGTGCACGATTTTGTAACGAATGAGTCAGATTGAATATAATATTCTCTATTTTGCTCCTCCAAACTTTTAATATGAATGTCGCTGTTTGGTCAGAACCGACAGTTCGAAATGCTAATGAAAATGTTTGAAAACAGCAGAGCTGACCGAGTTATGTGTCAGCGGATTTCGCATAGAATTTGAGACCAGTAACATATTACTTTTCACACAAGCACATGCAAATTGCAAAACGTGAACGCGGCATTTTTTTTTTCATGGTCGTTTTTGTTTTTTTTTTTAATAACGCAACTTATTTCGACCGCAGGGAAATTAAGTTTTTCATTAGGTACTTATTGACGAAACAGAAAATCAAAATCCGAGGTGATTTCACGAGCTAGTGGCGTGTCCCTCCGGATGCGAGTTTGAATGTTCTTGGCGTATATTATTGAAGCATGTGTAGGGCGAAAGTGGGGTTTGGAGAGCCCTACTCTGATTAACGGACGTGGAAAGGGTCGTGCAAAACCTGGCCGTCTTGCGACAGGCTCGGATTTCCTTCGCCACTCCAATCAGCAGGAATACAACTAGGATCTTGTTCATTGGATTGTGTCACGAAATTGTTAACAAAGAGCTTTTTTTATTTGCACAAACTATTAACGCCTACCTTGGTCCGCTTTCTTTTTGCACCAGGTAATACAGACGACGCGCTCTAGTCATAGTTTGTTTTCCTTCATGGCTTTAGATCGATCCCTATATAGCTTAACTTCATCCACACGACGCAGTTTTTAAATTTCAAAAATAGACAAAATCGATTCGCGGGTAATTTAATAATGTGTTTTTCTGAACACCCGCGCGCCTTATGTCATCAAATTTTTTATTCTAATACGTAATCTCGTACCACGCTCAACTTTTTCATCACTTTTTTACATCTATTTACTTGTTGTACTACATTCTTTGCAAGCTATTGTACAAATTTTCACCTTCTGTAAAATTCTGTCAACATCACTGACGTTCATAGTAAATAACACGGGACTCAGTAAGTGAACTTATTTACTTCAAAGTTTCTCAATACTTTTTCCCTTATATTTGCACAAACTATCAACACCTACGTTGCCTCGCTCACTTTTTATGCGATGAAGTAATATAACGTTGGGTTGTATTTACAACTTACAAATATTTATATACTGATTGGAGATACCCTCCACCGCTATAATTAGAGTCAGTTTGCAAGCTTGGTTAAAGCAAAATTACGAGATAATTGAAAAAGCTACTTAAATATTTACACACTCTCTCCACGAAATACACGCCGAAAATCAGCGGTTATTGCGTTCGACCACTTAAGCTGCGCTTGGAACTTCAGGAATGTTAATTTTATTGCCACTTTTATAACTAATATTTTTTATCATCGGTTTATTGCTCTTCGGTTTTTATTGGTTTTTGAGTTGTAGGAGCACCAGCGGACCTATTGTTCATAATCATTAGTGTGTATCTTAATCACAATGTTTGTGTTTTTTACATATATTTATTTGTTGCTTCCTGAGCGTAAGCTTGTTTAAACACTTCCGCGAAAGTTTGAGGATATATTAAAATGTTGATGACGTGATAATAAAATTTTGTTAGGGAAAATTCACTTGAAATATACGCATAGCATGCTCCTTTACGTGTAGTTTAACACTTCGCACATAGTTTTATTTTAATTTATAGGGGTTATTATAAAAAAATGAAATCCGCAAAATTCATTAAATATTTCCGCTAATTATGGATTTAATTATCAATTAGATCATTAATTAATCATTTTCTGTAAGAAGAATAGGCAGATTATCGTTAATATATGGTTTTCTCAAAAAAAGAAAAATTTGCCAATTGAATACGAAATTAGTCTTTATGTATACGTTGCATAGTGAATTTTTCCGAATTTTTGTGACATAAATTTTACTACGAGCAACAATAATGAGTGCCCCGTGGCTAATTAACACGGTGAAAATGAAAGTTTAATTAGGAATGACCTTCACCATTGTTGTTTTGCTACAGGCGTCTGGCTATTTTCATGTTTTCTCAAAGTTTCAAGCTTTACAAGAACCTCTGACAAATATATAATGCACGTGGGTTGAAAATGCGTGGAAAATCTCTGTTAAGCAGCGAGCTTTCGCGAACACGCAAAAGTCAATAAATTATCATCTGGACTATATTTTATCCCAGTGACCACGACCCGCTGATCGAAATACATAATAATTTGGGGCACAGCCGAATTCGAATAAAATGCCGGCGGCATTAAATATTATTAAACCGGTGTATCAAACAATGAGTTATTTTCGACCTCGGTCTATTATGATTCTAATACATAAATTCAGCCCTTCTTTGTTATCATCGTCTACAGGTTGCAGTGAATTTTCCCTTACATTTAAGAACATACTCTGAAAAGCTCGGAAAATCACGTAAAACATTAATTTACAGAAAACGGGCTCGTAAAAGATACAACCCAAATTGCACATTATAAAATCAGCATTGACGTTCGACAGCGGCGTGTCACTGCTTTCAGAGCAAACATGAACCGAAGTGTAAGATGATCATGTGATTTTATAAACTTATTAGTTGCGGAAGCGCGTTTTTCGAGCTTGTTCAGGGAATTTGAAGTAAACTGGAGCTGCAATTAAATAAGTGTTGGCAGTGCAGTGGGGATCGTTTAAGCACTTTAATGCGCTTTTTTGGTGCGACGCTACAGACGCTAATATTTAACGGCGGAGTCGTGGAACCAACACACTGGAGACTGGGGTGTCAACTCATATTTAAAAACGGTAACGGGGTTAGTAGATTTATGTATTTATGAGCTTCAAAGACAAGATGAATGGTTTAAGCTTTCAGATTGGCAAAACTAAGCTCTCCGGTAAATGTCAGTTGTGATGATTATCCTACCCTTGCTATTACCTTTTGTCGAACTGGGCGTTTTAGACCACTTGTAAATAGTTAAATATCTGATCAATACCCCGAATGTTACAATATTCCCACAATAATCTGTTCATGTATCCGGCTTTGCAAAATTAAGCAGCTCATAACCGTCAGAGAATTCACGTTTATTCAGTTAAACGAAATTAATTTTTGTTTTAGAGGAAATTGCTACCGCTGGTTGTTTCGTTGCAGTTTTAAAGCTTTTATGGATATTATAGCGTTGCCAGATTCGTTCAATAGCCGAATTCCAATTTGACGGATTATAAAATAAAAATGTGTAAATAGTCGGTAAATCTTGCTCTTGACTGAAAGTAGTTAACATTTCACCAGATTGGTGTGCCGGCATATCAGAAGTGAGCTCTCTAGCTGTTCGATGGGTCGGTATTTGACATAAAATGTCGCTTCAGACGATCATCCTCCTCTTATTATTACTTTTTGTCGAGTGCCTCGCTGGGCGTTTTCAAGCACTTCCGAATAGTTAAATATCCAATCGATAGCCGGAACGTTACAATATTCTTGATAATCTGTTCATGTATCCAGTTTTGGAAAATTAAGCAACTCGGTTATAACCGTATCAGTACATAAGGGACACGTTTTCGTTGTTCCAGAAGTCGTCATGTGTTTTGAAACTACCAACAAATTAAAACATTGTATAACGCAAGCGAAGATATTGAGAAACAAAATCGTAGAAGTACTTTCGCAAACCTGTTGTTGTGTGACATCGTCAGCTGCAAAATATCGTTACATTTGATGGCACATGTTTGCCGAAAAAGTGTCTGTTGAAGAGTGAATCGAATTATTTTACGACGCTTCCGATATGTGTATTATGTGCTCACGATAATGAAAGTTCTGTTTTACAAGATGTCCGTCTTCTGATGCTGCTGTCTGGATTATTCAGGGCGAACGACAGACTCGGCATAATTATGAAATTCCTGAAATGGTTTGC